CGCCTGTGGGAGGGGTTTATTGGGTACACAACTCCCATTTGCTGTCTCAGGTGGCAGTGGCCACTGGTGAAACCAGGGCTATTGTTGACTGCGTCCAGTCATGCTCGAAGTGGTGTGCGATTGGCGTGTTGCATTGCCCCATGGGATGTCGCGTACAATGGCTCAGACTGCATCGGCCGAGGGGTGGCGTGTTCAAGTGGCCCTTGGACAGCTGCGACGATTTGGACGCGCGTGTGTGCGCAAATGGAAGTCGGACAGGGTTCTTCAGGCCAGGCAGTTGGAAAGCGCTCCCTGCAAACTTGCGTGACCTTGAGGCAGTGGACGTTGAACATACCTAGAGAGGTGTGCTTTTGGTACGTGTGTTGAGTGTTGGTCACGCCAGCCGTCTGTGCCCTTCCCCATCTCCGGTCTTTTTGATGCTTTTCTTGATATCGGACCCAGTGTAGGAGTGCTGAGAGATTGGGGTAGATTCTCCGCAAGTCTACTTTCAATATGATTCCGCGGGGGTCACCCTGTTGCTTCAGCTTGCTGACGAGCGTAGTGGACATCATCGAGAGCGACAGTTGAACTGTCAAACGCTGAAAGAACCAGTCGACCAGCAGTGTTGGCTGGCCGTCACAGATTTTACACACAAAGATCCGTAGAGGAAGACAGAGTCACGTGGGCATATAGTGGATCATGGTATTATAATACAGATGAGTGAGCACGGAGAAGGTTGAATAAGGCATGTCCACTAGAGTCCACGGGCCCTGTTATGTGAACTTTGGGCCGCAATAGATGCGGTCTCCGAATACGGGCTTGGTTCCTTAATCGAGTGGTTGTCAAGTCTATATTTGCCGGATTACGTCGTCTCCGGGACTTGAAACAACTATTTAGTTTACAAAAGTCTATTCACGCGATAACTGGTGGCAACTAGTTGTGCTTAAGGTTGCCCTTTGCTTGCTTCTTCCAACAAAGCCAGAGGACTTTTTGCTTTTCAACAATGGTGTAGAATTGCCCAAACGGTGTAATGGTCTCTTTGGGAACAAGTGAAGGCGTAGCCGCATATGCAGTTAGACCCCAGCGGCTTTTTGCTCTTGCTTCTCTGTGAAATGCGCGAATAATCCGTGTGAACCGCTAAGTGAATGAGTGTCTCCCTCAAATGTTAATTAGCTCCGTCTCTACTAAATGACGTACGAAAAATGAACTACTGTTCTCAACCGTTAGGTTTATCGGTTTGGGTGTATGATCAAGAGCGCTATTTGCAACTTAAGCGTATCGAATGATCACTGTCTCCAGGAAGTTTGTTTTTAGTCAGGTATTCTTCAAGTGTACAAAAAATGGTTTGCTCCGTTTTGTTATTGAAATGACGCGGCAGATAGTCTTTCTGGTTGAGACGTAGATGAGTGTTGCACCCTGTTAGTGTTCTCTTTTGCTTTGCATTGCCCCTTATCAAAACTACTGCT